ACCAGCGAACATTAGTTACGTGACTGATGAGATGGCCCGTCAATGTGGTGTCACTGTGCTGCGGTTACCGCCCTACCACTGTGAACTGAACCCAATAGAACTCATCTGGGCTCAAGTGAAGGGTTATATTGCGCGCCATAACACAACCTTCAAATTACCAGACGTTAAGGTTTTACTTGAGACTTCCATACAGCTAGTAACGCCCGAAGCTTGGCAGAATGCTATCCGTCATGTTGTGAAGGTAGAAACAAAAATGTGGCAGCTTGACCACCACATCGACACCATCATAGAGCCAGTTATAGTCAATTTCAACGAGAAAAGCGATAGCGACAGTTTATTACTGTCAGATGTAAGTGGAAGCGACGATGAATAAAGGTAATTCCCAAATTTTTGAATTACAATATGTTTCAAACCACTCTTTATTAAGCATGTGACAAATCTAGTTCACCCATGTTAAACATTCATACCCCGCCTATGAAAAGCCGACTACTGGTAGTTAAGTGATGTTCACGTGAGCATCGATGAGTCATTACAGTTTTAGATAGTTATAGTGTAGCAGTGAACTTCGGTGCAACTTCAGTTCAGTTTCTTACTTCTCTTTGATTGCGCTGTAATTCGAGGAATCAAACACATTATTATTTTGCATTATTTATTGAAACACAAATAAACCAAATCGTCCCAATTTTATCGTCAAAATACTGAATAGATACGGGCAGTAAAGAGAAATCTTTATGACATTGCTGACAGCTCGTGATGACAAAACTGTTACAGCCAACTGTGAAGAGAAAAATTTGCAAGTTTATTGCGCGATTCAACGACCTATAGAATCAGTTATACAGGGTTTGCCCGGAAAGTAATAGGATTGAGTCGATTTAAAAAAAATTATTGAGCCAATCGTTACAATTCTTTGAAAACTTTCAAAATAGGCTCCTTCTGCGTCGATGCAGCGCTGCCAGCGCGATTTCCAAGCATTGAAGGCGTCACGGAAGGCATTCTCCGGAATATCCTTGAGAGCCGCGGTGCATGCTGCTTGGATCCCCTCTGTCATCTCAAAATGCTTGCCTTTCATCGACCTTTTCAGGCGAGGAAACAAAAAAAGTCCGGGGGGTCACATCTGGGCTGTAGGGCGGCTGCGGAAGCGTTGCGATGCCGGCCTTGGTCAGGTAGCTGTTCACAAGAAAGGCGGTGTGAGCCGGGGCGTTGTCGTGGTGCAACTTCCAGTCGGCTGCGATGTCTTGTCGGACCCGACTGACCCTTCGTTTGAGCCTCCTGAGCATTTCCACGTAAAACTTGGCGTTGACGGTTTGTCCAGGAGGAACAAATTCATGGTGGACGATGCCTTTGATGTCAAAAAAGACAACGAGCATCGTTTTCACTTTGGATTTGTTCATTCTTCCCTTTTTTGGGCGAGGAGACGCCGTCGTGTGCCTCTCGGAAGATTGCCTCTTTGTTTCGGGATCATACTCAAAGATCCACGACTCGTCACCTGTGATTACGTTATTCAAAAATTGGGGGTCACTTTCACACATGTTCAAATTTTCTTGGCACACTTCCACTCGCCGCAATTTCTGGTCGTCAGTGAACATTTTTGGGACCATCTTCGCGCACACCTTGCGCATGTTCAAATGCTGTGTCACAATGTCTTGAACCACAGATTTTGGTAAATTTAACATCTGGGCAATTAAACGAATACTTAGTCGACGGTCTGAGTTCAAAACTTTGCGCACGCGAGTCACATTGTCGGTGTTATGTCGAAGTCGAATGTCTTCCAGCACGGTCTTCATCAGCGACCTCTTCCCGGCCCTCCAAAAAGGCCTGGTGCCACCGAAACACGCCACTTTTTGCTAAACCAACACCTGGGTAAGCTTGCTTGATCATATCAAACGTCTCTGTCGCAGATTTACCGAGTTTCACACAGAATTTAATCGCGTACCTCTGCTCTAACGAACGCTGAAACACATCGCGCGAAAATGCCTGTCCTGACTCTCCAAATGCTCGGAGACAACTGACCAGCCGCTCATTCGTTAGCTAGGAACGCCCTCTACCGAATCCAGTCGGTGCGAGCACGCTCCGAAGTACAGTCATGGCGGAAGAAAATGAGTCCTATTACTTTCCGGACAAACCCTGTACAAGATTGTTGAACTGAAAAACTTCGGATGACCTTATCATAATCGATGCTCGTCTAATCCGTTTTGAAAGCTTGCCTTTTTCTATGGCAATTGCGTCTACGCACCTTGGACGTACACACGTACCTTTGGGGAAAGCTCGCCCCACACGAGATCGAGTTTTCAGTACTAAAAAGTTACCTACATTTGTCACGTCTCATTTCTGTTACATGTAAATAAAAGTTCGTTTCCAGTAAAGTAGCTTTTTTTGTTATTGTAAGACTTCGGTCGACACAGTACAATATTGTTGTAGTACAGAATGATAACTTAGAACGGCGATGTTTATGCTAAATCTCAAACAAAGAAATATTCCAGAAAGCTCTAGAAGTAGAGTCATGTGGGGTAACTGTACGCAATTTCTAGTGAATTGCTTCCAGAATAAAAGTTCTAGTTAATTGAAAAAAATCAACGTTTAATCTAATGTAATAAATCTTTATAGACAAAAACAAAACATAAATTTTTAATTCTAATAATAATTGTTATTTTGATTGAAACTTTTAATCAGCAAGGGAAATGCGGACACTTACCCTCATCAGTGGGAAAGTGTCCTTAAGTGTTCGCAATAACGACAAAGTGTACGCACAACAGAAACTTAACCCATTGCACATAGATCACAAGTAAATATGCCACTCTCGTAACTGGTACAGGCTTCGTGCCATCAAGATTTACAGATTGTACACTCAATCCACACTTCAGCCGTATCTCCGTATACTTTATCTGAAGTCACTTGAAACACTGTGAAATACCGGGTGCGTTTTATATATCTATATTTAACATGCTCTGTTGCTGCAAAAATCGCCAAATTTCGCAGCAAATATCCCCCGTATAAGATCAAAGGCAGTTTCACCGGTCCACGTGGAGTAAAGCACGCCTATGCGTGGACATAGCCAATGAGAAAGCGTGTATTTCAGAGCTCGGAACAAGTGCAGGTGGCTACTGAAAATTGAAACAGTTTAGCCAGTGCCGTGTAGCGGTGAATAAACGTGTTTTCTTTAGTCTGTCCGTGTTTTTCATAGATTTTATTAGTTTGTGTGTTTTTGACTTTTGAATACTCAGTTTACTTGTTGATTTAATTGTTGTGTTGATTGTTCTGGTGTGTCCTAAATATGGTTCTTTGGAGACCTTGGGAAAATGCTCCAAGCCACGAGGAGATGGTTGATGAACCTGTGCAGGCAGAATTCTTTTATAAAGATTTAGAGGAACATACCCAAAGAGTAATCCTAAATATGTATGATTGTCTGAAAAACGAAAATCCAGATTCCTCGCAAAATCAAATTTTAAACAGGATTTGTATCCTGACAAAAATCAGTCGGTCTACCATTTATCGGGTTATAAAAAGGGGAGATGTAGTCAACCATTCCTTCCACAGAAAGCGCATAGGGCAAAAATTAAAAAGAATAGACGTGGGTTTTCAGGAAGATATTCGTCGTATAATATACGGATTTTATAAAGAAAATTTGGTGCCCACGTTGGAAATGATACGGGATAAATTAAAAGAGTATCCTGAAGATTTTTATAATTACAAATGCTTAGACTCACTGCACTGTATTGTAAAACTGTGTGGTTTTCAATACAAAAAATTAGATAAAATAATGGTGATTATGGAGTCGTCTCGAATCGTTGAATTGCGCCAAGAATTTTTGCACAAAGTTAAAATCTATAGAGAGCAGAAAAGAAATCTGATTTACCTGGATGAAACGTGGTATGATACCCATGATGTTGTGCAGTACGGCTGGGTTGACGACAGCAACAAGTGCATTTTAAATGCACCATGCAACCGTGGAAAACGAATCATTATTCTCCATGCTGGCAGTGAAAATGGATTTATACCTAATGCCTTGCTGTTATCTGCCAAAAATATCAAAAAATCATGTGCCGACTATCATGAGGACATGACCTCCGACTTATTTGAAAAGTGGATAGAGCAGCAGTTAATACCAAACATTTCCCCAAATTCGGTGATTATTATGGACAATGCGCCATACCATTCCCGACAAAAAAACAAAATTCCGAATACAGGCACAAAAAAACAAGACATTATTGATTTTATGAAGGATAAGGGATTGGAAATACCACAAAAATCAACCAAAGCCATATTATTGGATCTTATTAAAAGACAAAAATTTGAAAAAGAGTATGTTGTTGACAATCTGCTTCAGCAAAATGACCATGAAGTATTACGTCTACCTCCCTATTACTGCATTTTTAACCCGATTGAGTTGGTCTGGGCTGCTTTAAAAAAAAAGTAAGAAAACATAATCAGACCCCTCAATTAAGTGAATCGCTATTGGCCACAATAAGAGATGCAGTATCTCGTATTGCTGCCACAGACCTATGGAAGCAGTGTTCTAGGCATATTATTGAAAAAGAAAATGAATATTGTGTTTTGCCTCCTGTAAATCCGCACGCCTATGATACGTCATGAAATTACAAAGGACGCGCCGACCAAAGGTTTTTATGCTATTTCAATTGACTTCAGATATACCATACCTTTCTCGACATAAAAGTTATCAGACAATATTGCCCAAAAACACAATTTTTGAAACAACAACGGGCTCATGACATTAATATACTCTAACTTAATGTGGACACGAAATTTGAACTCGGTCGCATTGATATTTTTCAAGAAAGTATGGAAATAAGATTAAAAAAATTGGTGCAAGAAAAATTCGAAATTGTGTAAAGTGTACAAAACCTAATATTAACATTATTAAAGCATGTACCTTAACAGACCATCACAAAACTCCAATCAGTGGCCCCAGTGAAATAACATAAGAAAACCACCAACCACCTTAGGTATATAAGAAATCGTAATTTTGCTATTTTTGTTTTTGCAGGGGTTTATGGTCAGTTGAGGAGTCCTCAATGCCAACCAACGGACGAAATACGCGATGAGGGTTCACCTCCACCCCAGTCAGGATACCTTCAGCAATTGCAGAGGAGTCCTGCGTACCATCATTTGAAAGATAGTAAGTAATAAAAGGATTTCACCTCTTATATTGCTCATTCCATCCGAGTATAAAAGAAACAACTATACTCTGTTCAAAGTTAAAACCCCATTTAGTCTATGTCAAATCAAACATAATGATCGATCGCTGACAGTTGAGGCATTCGTGCTCCGCCTATATATAGGGGCCGTTCAAGTATTACGTAAGCAGATTTATTACAATTATTTACCCTCCCCCCATCCCCCTTGTCAGCAAAAGTAAGCAAAGCTCTTATCCCCTCTCCCCATGCTTACGTAAACATTTGTCAATTAATGTATTGTTTTTTTTAATATTATAATTATAACTTTATAATTATAATTTGAAAAATAAGAAAATAGATTTAGGATAGACATTATATTTTACTGATACGTTATTCAACATAGAGTAAACGACAGAAATATTATATCTTACTAACAAACAAACTTATTTTAAATTTTTGGTACATATATTAAATTCAAATTAACAGTCTTCAGTCCATGAAACCCGAATCCATGATTCTAAGTTTTCGATGACATTGGATTCCTTCGATTGCTGCTCAGTGTTGTGAGTTTGCTCGCTTTCATCGGATTTTGGAATGTCTACGTCGTTCTCATCGAACCATTCAACATCATGGTGCTCTAAATTTTGAATAATGCATATCAGTTCATTAGCACGATGAGCAGCGACTCTTACAGGTCTAACTTTCCTATCAGTGTGCGTGTTTACTTTTTTATGGATATTTTCGATGTGACGATTTAGTGACTTGACGGAAGCATGATAAAGACCACACGGTGTGCATGTTCGACTTGATAGCCTCAATTTTATCGTCGGACAAAAATAATCGTAGGGTATTTGCAGGAAATCTTTGAGTGAAGCACTTAAGCGTAGAGCTAAATTGACTGGAAGATTAAGAAATTGCTCTCCTTCATCCAAAACCAAGTCATCAACTGTTTATTTTACTTTTACAGGTAGTGGAAGAAACCTATTGTCTAGTAATCTAAATAGGCCACTCCTTGAACGACAGCATTCTGTATTTCTACATTTTCCAATTTGAAGCAAGTATTGGCTCTCACGCACATGTTCTGAATACCATTTAATGTCTGGAAAATCAGGAAGATCTTGTTCACCTGCCCCAACATATTTTGCATTAACATTATAGCATTCAATTTCCATTGAACTCCATACTTCAGCTAATACATTTCCTGCAAATTCGAAATTAGATCTTTCTAAATGTTCATCAATTGTAACGCCACGTTCATCCAAATAAGACCCAAAATGGTCATGAGGCAATATTAAACCAGCCAGTTCCCGACTAAGAGGAGCCATTCTGCGCTCTACTCTGTTATACGCACTTCTTCCAGGAGCATTGGTAGCTAAAAACAATGCATTGAGATCATGCCGCTTAAAGTGTTGTATATCAAACCCTATGACTTTTTGATAACGTGGATTTTCATCTAGCCCTCCATCAACCGTCATGATTACCACTGGTTTTACTAGTCCATGGTCAGTTTTAGCTAATGGTCGAAACTCTTCAAGTTCGAGAGGCGTCTCGTAATCCTGAGCATGAGTATTAGCAGTAGATGAATTATGCTTTCCTCTTCGAATAGCGACGTATGTTGGTGCAGAATATCCAACGGCTTGCGGTTGTCCTAGCATATTGGAAGTGATTTTGATACCAGCATAAACAGATGGTATTAATTTATGACGCTCAGCGATTACCCAATCGTGATCAGGCAATTTGATTCTATATTCCATGTGCATTAGAAGAGGTGCTTGCTTATTTGCCGCAGTTACGCCAATAGGGACTCGAGCTTTATCATCTTGAGATATGAAAAATACTTGATCTGGTCCAAGTATGGATGCTATGTTCTCTAAATAATGGATTGATGTGTCAGCGAACTTGCTATCTAAGTGGCTCTTGTGGTGATCAGTTTGAGCCCGAATGAGCTTAACAGGGACTGTCGATACATGTCTTCGTCCCTCTGCATAATTAGATTTTCTGGGAATCAAACGAAGATATGTCCCACTGCGACTAATGTCAAATTCTATTTTACGTAATTCTTGGGTGAGTTCATCAAGAGTTGTTACGCTGCGAATTGATTCCATTCGTCTTCTATCAACTGCTGCACTCCCAAATAAAGCTATATCCGTGATTGTTTTCAAAAGTGAATGTTGATTGCTTTCAAGATTAGGACGTCCCACTGAATCCCTCAGAGATAGTCTTTTTTTTATTTCTGGATTTTCATGACAAATATCTCCTAACTTTCCTTTCATACCATCCCTGTATTTCTTCTGTGCAACTGCGTTTTGAACATTCCTGTTTAAAGACTGTTTTGCTGTTTTTATTTCCTCGCGCAACTTAATGATCTGTTTATCAACTTCAGCACAGCTTGGCATAGTATCTTTGGCAGAATACAAAGCTTTCAGATTTTTTTCGAGTAGAGCAATCTTATTTTTCATAGCTTCCTGAGAAGGTTTTGCTCCCTGTTTATCTGTATTTTCATTAATTTCGCATTGCTGTTGTGATTCATTACCGGGTTTTATTTGATCTTCGTCCTCTTTTTTAATATTCAAAGCTGACTGCATAATTGGTGTTTTTTCTGCAGGTTTACAGGTTGCCTAAAAATAAAAACTTTCTATGGCTTCTGCTAAAGATTCTTTTATTAAGCTACATAAATACAAAGTATGGCAATATATTATATGGTAAATACAAAACCCTATGGCTTTAAATCTAATATGTTTAAACGAGCAATTCGTTCCGGTCACAAAATACAGTGTTTTAGTTTTCTGTATATATGTTTAAAACTAACATCCTGTACTTTGTGACCAATTGACGGAATCAATCATAAGAAATAAATCTATAATATAATGAATATTACCTCTATACTTTGAGATAGGCCATAATATTTTCTAATCAGTAAAGAGAAACTTTTTGGTGATTTCTATTATTTCTAGTACTCATAGGTACCTAAAATGATTTCGTCACTCACCTTAGAAAAAAAATTTAGTAAATTGGATTTATTCTTAGTCGCCGCTTGGAATTCTTCTTCGATTCTCTTAGATACAATAATATCTAGTTCCTTGGCGGAGTTTGATTGTAATTTGTAATTTCGCCACACTTCGTTAACTAACTTTTGTACATTTTGTACTTTCGTACTTGTATGAGATTTTTTAAAACTTTCAAACAATTTTTGGTATAACTTGGATTTGTCTATGTGAAACGACATCTTATTTAAACATTAAACTTTGGCTAATGGAATCACTGGTAACACAAATGTTAACTTGCTTTACTATGCTTACAATACGTCTACTCGCTATAGTATCCAAACGGAACAATACACTGATAGAGGAAATTTAGACAAGTGAACACCGCGCGGTAATTCCCCTACTCGGTTCTAAAGCGAGTAGGGGAATTATCGCGCGCTGTTCACTAAACGTATGCATTATTTGCGGGAATCCCCGAAAATGCGTTTCGTTTTCAAGCAACGACAATGTGAGGGTTGCCATTCGTGTAAAAACGTCAATAACTACCGAGGACGTAATCAACATCTAGGCTCCCCTACCCCCCATGATGTCATCCAAAATAAGCAAAGCAAAAACATTTTTTTTTTATTAAAAATGCATTTCTTGCATTTGATCTCCACATGTAACCTTTTAACAAATATTAATATAGCTCTGAAATCGTGCACTCTACTGTTGTCCTACTGCCCAGTAGAGGGAGCGAAAGGTCCCTGCTAACAGGACCGGCTTAAGGAACAAGGTTTTTAGCACGGCAGCAGTTGAGTAAATTGATTATTTACTCGAGGTGATTTTTATTTATGCCCTCAAAGAATTTATCAATCCGAATTTTGTGAGAAAATTGAAATTTAATTGCTGTCATATCAATCTAGGTACTGTATTAGATTTGTGTCCCTCACATCAAAATGCTGGAACATCCGCCTTATTCGTTAGATTGGGCAATGTGTGACTTCTGGCTCTTCAACAATTTGCACGGTCGAAAATTTTCGTCCGAAGAGGAAATCGAACGAGCGATTAATCAGTTTGTTGAAAGAATTTCAAAAACTGACTGATTCGAAGCATTTCATTTGTGGAAGATCAGGCTACAAAAGTGCACTGATGCTGGAGGAGAATACTTTGAACATAAATAAACTAGTTTTCGTGAAATAGTTTTTAGTTTTCGTGTATCTCAAAATATACAGGATGTCCGCAAAGTTGGGTTTTTCCTTTACACGACGGTTACGGTCACGCGTGTAGAGGTAATCGCGTAGACGAGAATCTCTCAACAAGCACTAGAGACGTGGCTAGAGAAGTGCAAGTAGGGGCTGTATCCGTTTCACGTCCGACGTGTACAAGCCCTTCAACCTGACGATTTTCCAGCAAGAGTGCGGTTTTGTGAGTGGTTGTTGCATCAACATGACAATAATCCGGACTTTTTGAAGTGCATATTGGTGACAGACGAATCTACGTTCACGCGTAATGGTGGTGGTGAATAACTTTCGCAACACTCATGTTTGGTCAGTAGAAAATCCGCACGCAACAAACATTTTCGGTGAATGTTTGAGCTGACATGGTGAACGGTATGCTCATTGGACTATTTATTCTCCCAAATCGAATGGACCGGATGCAATACCTAGACTTTTTACGCAACATTTTGCCTTCCTTGTTAAAAGATGTGCCATTAAGTGTAAGACAATCAATGTGGTTTCTGCACGATGGTGCACCGCCCCATTTTAGACGCGAAGTGCGTGAGTTTTTGAATGAATTATTTCCGAATAGGTGGATCGAACGTAATGGACCCGTAGCGTGGCATCCGCGATCTCCAGACTTAACACCATGTGATTTTTTTCTTTGGGGAGAAATGAAACACTTAGTGTACAAAACTGAAGTGCATACGGTTGACGAACTTCGTCTCAGAATTGAGCAAGCTGGTGCTTTCATTCGGGGGAGTGACTCCATTCTCAAAGCCTGCACCGATGCTTGGCTACGTCGTGCACACACCTGTGTTTTTGACTCAAACGGCGATAACTTCGAACAATACCTATAAAGTACGTTTACCTAAAAACTGAAAACGCGGCAACGCCGTCATATTTGTTACCTCTGTTCGTGGTCTGCACACCGCTTGCGTCTGTCCGGTAGCGCATCAGCTGATTTCATTTTCTGTTGGAGAGGTATGATTTCGGACAGAGACGTACCTAGCCCTTCTCGTCGACTGGAGAGTGAGTACTTTTTCCTTTATTTTTTTTTACTTGGTCGCCCTCGTTTCACTACACATTACCTTTGTTATTTCAAGGGTAGTTGTTTCTGAAAACGAAAACCCCAACTTTGCGGACACCCTGTATAGCGTGGTCCTCGTATGATCAACAATTGAAAAAAAATGTTTTCGTACTTTAACCAAATGGTTTATGACGTAGGTATTTCTTGATTTAATACGGGAAAATCATATAATATTTCTCTAGTTAGAGAGTCATCTTACAAGAAATCGACCATATCCATTAGATCCATTACTTCAAGGACGCCTTCTCATTAGTTGAATTTGTGACCCACCTGCTTTTTGCGCCCGGTTTAATAACGTCGGGCCTAAGTGGAACGTGAGCCTAAATGAAAACCCTGTTGATCTAGGTGGGTATAAGAGCAGTAACGAATCATCCCCATCGGGGGGTGGTGGCGGGTCGACCACCCCCTTCCCCATGGACGCCAGTGGAGGTCTGCACCAGCAGCAGTCGCCCCTGGACGAATCTACCGCGGGATCGCAATCGCAGCTGTTCGCATCGGCTGGCCAGCAACAGCAGTACGACGAGCACGAGTACCAGCAGCTGGAACACCAACAGCAACAGTTCCTGAATAGCTGGGGCCTGGAGCAGAAGTACAACCCGGCCGCTGCCGCGCATCCCTACGTCAAAGGGTACATCAGGGGTAAGTAGTGAATAAAGAAATAATAATCCATTTATTCCCCTATATATACAGTGGCGGACAAACGTTTGGAAACAAATATTAACATTATTATGAACTATTTCATATACCTAAATTAAAATGGTGAAGGTGCAGATAATATAAATATTAAAGACTTTCTGCGTTACAACTATTTGTTTAAAAAAAAAGGTTATTTCTCTCTTCAGACATGTCACATCATCCATGAAAACGGAAAACAAGCAAGGATAATTGACTGTCTGTCTATATAATCAGGCTTTCATCAAGAAACCAAGTAATTCAATGCTTTTGCGTTGTAATCCATTGTGATCCTAAAAATCCCTAATGTGTACAAAACCATGCTAATTATGCAAATTTCAAGGGTTAACCGAATCCTCAAAGGGGGATTCGCTGGTATTTTACACAAAATTTGCTCTACCCCAAGAACGGTTGCCCTTGGTTATACGATTACATGCATGATAATAATAATAATAATAATAATAATAATATTTATTCGCCAAAATACAAAAAATGGGCAAATAAATATGAAAAAACCACAGAAGGTGGTTTATATCTTAATAACTAACAATCAATCATATATGTGTATAACAATTATTGTTAAATCTAAAAGGTATTAATGTAATTGGAATTTTGTAGTTTTAGTTTTCTATATAATTATGTATAGTCATTCGCTGCACATTACTAATCCAGTCTTTCAATTTTCTTCTAAATTTTTTTCCAAAATTAAGTATCTTTATTTCGTTTGGTACTACATTAGATAATTTAGCTGCTAAGAATTTAAATGATTTTTTGAATAATGTTTTGTGTGGTCTTTGGATATTAGATGAGCCTATTCGAAATCGTGTGTTATGCTCGTGTTTATAGGATTTTTTCTTTTTATTACAATACTTATGGTATAAGGTGGTGGCATGTAAGCAATAAAGTTGTCTTGTATCAAGTATTCCTGTTTCTTGATATAAGTTGTTCGTTGGATATAATCTTGGCTTATGGAAAATGGCTTTCAAAACAGTTTTTTGTGCTATATTCAGGTCAGAAATATATGTCTTGCAGGCGGCACCCCAGGCTGTGATGCCGTATATTATATGGGTTTCAACTAAGGCATGGTATAGGATTCGCAGATAACTTTCTGTAAGAATGTTAGCAAGCATTTTGAGTTTATAGGCAACATTTCTAATTTTTTTGATAACATATTTAATATGGTTATCCCACCTTAGATGTGAGTCTATAAATATTCCAAGATATTTCAAAGTGTTAACTCTATCGATTTTGGTCTTTTGGCCATGATAATTAACGGAAATTTGTTCGAAGGTAGGTAAAAATTTTGAATAGGATGTAAATGCAATAAATTTTGTTTTTTTGAAGTTAACTGTTAAAATTTTAGTATCAAACCAGTCAATGATCCTTATAAAATCCTTTTCAGCTATTTGCTTCATTGTGCTCCAGTCATCAGCTTTATATAATACGAGGGTGTCATCTGCAAAACATATAATCTTTCCAGAACTGTTAATTTTGAATAAGTCATTTAAGTAGAGACTAAATAATAGTGGGCCTAGTACTGTTCCTTGAGGCACACCACACTTGATGTACATTTTTTACTGTAAGTGTTAGTGATTTTGACAGTCTGTGCCCGACTTGAAAGGTAATTTTTTAAAAGGATTTGTGACGCTCCCCTAAATCCCAATCTTTCCATAACTTTCAGAAGCTCGACATGGTTAACCGTATCAAAGGCATTTTTTAGATCAACAAAGATACCAATAGTAGGTATCTTTTTGTTGACATTAGAGTTAATTTCATCCATTGCAGCCAAAATTGCATCTGTAGTAGATTTTCCTTTTCTAAATCCATATTGGTCAGAACATATAATTTTGTTTTTGTCCAAAAATTGTAATATCCTTTTTTGTAGTAATTTTTCGAAAATTTTGGCTATATTCGATAGTACTGATATGGGTCTATAATTTGATATTTCCATTCTGTCACCGCTTTTATAAACAGGTGTAATAACAGTTGTTTTAAATGCATCAGGACAAATTCCAGATGTGTTTATAGTTTTTTGTAGAATTCAAAAGTAGATTAATTCAAATTGTATCCTATTAAAAATATTTTATCCGAATTACTCCAATCAGTTTTACCAAAATCCCAAATTGTCATAATGGTCTCTCTCCTACTTTCTATCACTGCAGTTTTTCGTGAAATATTCCGTACACTATAATAATTTAAAATACTGAAAAATTTTGCTTATTTTACAACGATTTTATTCAGTTTTTGCTTCCTACGCCTACAGGTGAAAATGAGATCTTATACTCGTACATATACAGGGTGTCCGCAAAGTTGGGGTTTTCCTTTACACGTCGTGTAGATCTTGAAAACATAAGCAATTTTTCTTAGTACCATATACACCAATGTCTTAAGGGAACCGAGATAAAGGGCTCTGCAACATCAAAAATATCTGAATACCGTCCTGTAGCCGCGACTCGCGACATCCCCGAGTGGTACAAGGTCACTGGCTCAACCCGACGACAGAACTGGGTCGGGGTCAGTGTGTCAGGTCAGTATGCAACCTTCAACCGACGGTTACGGTCACGCGTGTAAAGGTAAACGAACCCGTATAATCGATTGCGTTTCAAAAAACAACAAGCACTAGAGACGTGGCTAGAGAAGTGCACGTATCAAAAACTAAAGTGTGGCAAACGCTGCGTGAAGAGGGGCTGTATCCGTATCACGTCCAACGTGTACAAGCCCTTCAACCTGACGATTTTCCAGCAAGAGTACGGTTTTGTGAGTGGTTGTTGCATCAACATGACAATAATCCGGACTTTTTGAAGTGCATATTGGTGACAGACGAATCTACGTTCACGTGTAATGGGGTGAATAACTTTCGCAACACTCATGTTTGGTCAGTAGAAAATCCGCACGCTGTCCGTCGGGCACATTTTCAACAAACATTTTCGGTGAATGTTTGGGCTGGCATGGTGAACGGTATGCTCATTGGACCATTTATTCTCCCAAATCGATTGGACGGGATGCAATACCTAGACTTTTTACGCAACATTTTGCCTTCCTTGTTAGAAGATGTGCCATTAAGTTAGTGTAAGACAATCAATGTGGTTTCTGCACGATGGTGCACCGCCCCATTTTAGACGCGAAGTGCGTGAGTTTTTGAATGAATTATTTCCGAATAGGTGGATCGGACGTAATGGACCCGTAGCGTGGCCTCCGCGATCTCTAGACTTAACACCATGTGATTTTTTTCTTTGATGAGAAATGAAACGCTTAGTGTACAAAACTGAAGTGCATACGGTTGACGAACTTCGTCTTAGAATTGAACAAGCTGGTGCTTTCATTCAGGGGAGGGACTCCATTCTCAAAGCCTGCACCGATGCTTGGCTACGTCGTGCACGCACCTGTGTTTGTGAATCAAACGGCGATAACTTCGAACGATACATATAAAGTACGTTTACCTAAAAACTGAAAACGCGGCAACGCCGTCTTATTTGTTACCTCTGTTCGTGGTCTGCACCACCGCTGGCGTCTGCTCGGTAGCGCAGCAGCTGATTTCATTTTCTGTTGGAGCGGTATGATTTCGGGCAGAGACGTACTTAGCCCTTCTCGTCAACTGGAGAGTGAATACTTTTTCCTTTATTTTTTTTACTTGGTCGCCCTCGTTTCACTACACATTACCTTTGTTATTTCAAGGGTAGTTGTTTCTGAAAAGGAAAACCGCAACTTTGCGGACACCCTGTATATTCTCCGTCTGTCTGTCTGTCTATCAGACTGTCCGTTAATCTTATAACCGCCTATAACTTGAGAAGTACCGCTCGGATTTCGATGAAATTTTTAGACAATGTTACTACTATGCCAAGGACGCAAAAGCGTTGTAATTTTTGAAAATCGGCCCACTGGTGGAAGAGAGAAAGGCCAAAAAACGAAAGAGAATAAAAATCGATCAAACGTCGTTTTTTGACGTTTGAGATGATCCTAATCATCTTTGGAAAAAAAATTATGGTTGGGTTAGTATCAATTTTTTGATATTAGTACATTTTATATGCTCTCAACCTTGACAATTCTACGCACCTATTAGACATAGTTCACACATCATAGATTTCTCCGTACATTGGCCCTTAAAACTTTCTCAGCAAACGGATCGCATACCTACCGGCTGCGGTTGCTGCTACCGGCGGCACGCTGCCAGCGTTGGTGAGCTCTGTTGATCTGGTATTACATGCTATGCTCTGACCGCGCTGCCACGTCCGACCGTGTTAACGCGACGATGTCAGATGCACTGCCGGTAGGGCAGGAAAAGAATATCTATGAACTAATTGTATGGACATGTTTTTGACTGACTTTTTTATCTGATGGTCTAGTTTATGCTGTACTTGACGCCACACACAATATGATTGTTTCCCCAAACAAAAAACGTTTATTTTCAGCTCTAATTTCGAACAATGCGTTTTCAGGCGGTCGTTACAGCGATCCGTACTCCGACTACCCCCAATACGGCGACAGCGGCGGCGGCGGTTTCCAGACGGTCCCTGGCGGTGACCCTTCAGCCTGGTCCCACCCTGCCGCCCAGGAGCTGCAGCAGTTGGCCGCCCACCATCACGCGCATCCAGCTTTCCTGCAGGGCGGCGGCCAGCCCAACATGGACACCAAGCCGCCCCTTGGGCTGCAAAACGGATTGATGGGACCGCCCGGACCTCCTGGGGGATACGGACCGCCTGGATCGGCGCCAGGTGGACCTGGGGGACCTTGCTTTACTGGTGAGTAGATTGCGAAGCTAGCGCAATAAAATATGAGAACTTTTGTTTTTGCGATTTATGTTGGATAAAAATGAATACATTAGTCAAAAGAAGAAACAACGGGATCCAGGTAATCGTGAACACAAATCTTTCCGAGACAGTCGTTTAAGGTGGCACGTCGCCTTTTTGAGATTTCTTTTCAACTACCGGATTGTCTCGTCTCGCAGCAAGTTGAGTTTTGAAGAAAAGCAAAGATTTTTCGAAAAGAAAAAGTGACAAGAACAAAAGTAATCACTCGTTTCATTCTTCCATAAAATAGGAATATTCACACACAATTTCAGAGCTCTAGTTATATTTGTCAACAAGTTCCGATGGAAGAAAAAATGCAAAATAAAATGCACAAAAAATGCATTTTTTGGCAAAAAAATGAAAACATTGTTTTTTAGTCATCCCTGTACACACCCTGAAATTATCAGATGAAAAGGATTTAGAAAACTGCTGCAAACAGTAAGATGACAAAGATTCTAAAAAAGGGACGTGCCACCTTAAAACGTTGTCCTTCTACTCCAATCATCAGACCAAACGCTCACTCATTTTATGATAAAACTTCAGTCGTTACGCCAAACATGCACTTTACGTAATTCACGGGCTTCTTATTTATAATTACGAATAAAATCACGATTGTAGTGAAATTTTTCATTGTTAGTGTAAATTAAAATCGGAATTTATATTGGGAGATTTCGGTGAAAAGTTTTTGTTTTTGTTAATAGAGGGTGTCCTGAAAATTAGGACTTTCTTTTCAGAAACAACTACATTTGAAATGAGAGAGCTAATGTGTTGTGAAACAACAGCGAAAAAATAAAAAAAAATAGCTAAACAAGTTCATCGGAAAGGAATTTTAAAAACAGCCTCTGTCACTTATAAGTATTGTTCAATGTTGTCTGGGATAGATCCAAGAACATATGTATGTGCTAAATTTGCACACGTAGTTTCTCACACCCGTGTTCACCTTATATATAGTATACTAAACATTTCATTTCACCCCAAACAAAAAAAAGGAATTACGCAGGATCTTGAAAAACGATCTGCATGCACTCGCGAAGCTTGGGGAGCATTTCGAAGGCACTCACTGCAAATAAAAATGATATGGACAACTCCTATATTTTGCTGTATGAGTGTGCCGTTCTTGTTCTCTTTTTATAGACCGGATGTGTAAGGGTTAGCCTGGATTGAATACTGGAGCAGGACCGGATTAGGTTTTGTTTAGGTTTCACTGATTTTGCCCACGAAACTACCAACTTTGAGTATATGACCTGCTTTTTCAATATAACTTGCTTATAGAAAATCTATCTTCATCATCTGAAGGAGCATAAAAATACAGTGTGTCCCAAAAATAACGCGCCAGAGTGACACGGGAGGTAGATTGGCTTCAGATCAATCAGATAAAATCAACATGACTTTAGTGAAAGTTTTCTAGTTTTCGAGATATTGCCACTTTTAAGTTTTTTCAAAAAATCTCTACTTTTTGCCCTTTTTGCCTGTTAAGGCCATAAAGAACTTCTAACTTGATTTTTTTCCTGTGCTACCGTTAAAAGTTGGTTGAGACAACAGATTCTTCATTTCATTGAAAACTAGAACGGTATGCTAAAAAAACTAAATTATTATATTTGGTTTCAAAGCTAAAACCTAATTAAAGTTTGACTAATTTCTGTGAAAAAAAATGTACCAGACTAAATCAGCAAATGACCTTTAAAACTAGCTATTTAATATTCTTTCAAAAATAGTATAACATTTTTGTACGTTCTTTTTACTAAAAGCTGAATAATTCTAAGTTTTATTTTTACTTGCGAAATACTACAAATAAAAAATTTTTTTAAAGAGCATTAAATAGGCTAATTTCTAAGATTATTTGCAGGTACATTCTTTACACAGAGATTAGTCAAACTTTAGCAACAAAATGTAATATTTTTTTTAGCATATCGTGCTAGCTTTAAATGAATGGACCAACTATTAATGGTAGCCCAAGAAAAAAAGCATAAGTTCTGTATAGCCATAACAGGCAAAAAAGGAGCAAAAAGTAAGGATTTTTGTAAAAAACTCAAAAGTGGCAATATCTCGAAAACTAGAAAACTTTTACTAAGGTATGTTGATTTTATCTGATTGACCTGAAGCCAATCTATCTCCCGAGTCCCTTTGACGCGTTATTTCTGGAACACCCTGTATAAACAGCTTCATCAGAACAGTTTGTCAATTTCCATTTTGAATACGATATACCCAATCCAATTGAACTTTGATGATTCATAATTCTACAAAAAAAGTCATGCATCGCTTATGAATGCAAAATGTACTTTCTCCTGTATAATTTTACGGTTTGCAGTTATCCTTTTTATAAACTTTAATCTACTAATATTTCTATTATTTGCACTTCTCCAGAAGTTTCAATTGAAAATAAATAAGTCCCACTTGATTCGTGGAAAAGAAGAATTCTTTGTGGGTGGGAGGTAATATCAATCCACTAGAAATTCTTCCATTCTACGAATAATGTGGTATTTATTTTGATTTGTGATTCCTGTAAAACTGCAATAACTCAAAAAAAGGCTATTCCAAAACTGTACAAGTATAAAGGGTGTTGTTTGATTTTTTGAGATTATGGACCCCCTGTATAGATTATACACAAAATTCAAAAAACGTTTGAAAGATGAACTGTACTGCGGCGATGTCGACACGGACACAGCGCTACAGGGGAATATTTATATGTATATTTTAGGAATGTATATTACCACTTCAGCGTTCTGCGATGCTTCTGTAAATGATGACTTATGTTGATTGTTTTTATATCTAAACATATCTTCTTCTGAATTTAATGATCCTTAAAAGTACACCACCCATTTCTCCTAACCTTTAATTTGTGTTACTCAGTATATAATGGATCTCTGAATATTTCGTTAAGTAGATTGACTTGACAAACCGACATAAATCAGAAACACGAACTTGTACGGTGCAGATATTTGTATCTTCTTCTTGTGAACTAAAGTTTAATACTTCTAACGCTTAGGTAGTCGTAGATTCTGAAAATTGATTGAGTTGCGGCGGAACTATGGAGAAAAAACTTAAATCGTGTTTCCGAGATTGGTGTCAGTGAAAGACCTCCTACTATTAAGATGTTGATGATCCCGGTAATGTTATGCACCTGTTAGACATATGTAAATGTAGTCTATAAAGAAAAAGCTTGCATCAATAGTGTATTTGAAATAAATCACATGGAAGTTTGGTCTGAACAGATCCATTTGGCGAATCAGATACTCGTAATGGTGGAATTGTTACAGTTTCTTTTTATGATCGACTAAAAATTAACTACATCTTGTTAAAGTAAATTTTTACAACGTTTTTATTATTCAAAATAATAATTTTATAGCCGTTCTTAAAAATATCGGGTTTTATTTTTAGTAATGAAACACTTGGTCTAATAATTTTATGGTAGAAAATTGTACTCTACTCTCTATCTCGTTGGAGATCATTTTTTATAATTTCTGTCGACCGTAAATACGTTAGCTGAAATTGACTTGGTGCTATTTCCGGTGCTCTGGTGTAGGAATTCGGCGGCCCACTGCCCGATTCTGTGAAATAGTTTCACACGCTGAGTTGTGGCATTATAGGGTGGTGGGGTTTTTTATTAGAAATCTCTTGGTGGTTTTTTTTTGTCGGTGCATTTTTTTCAACCTCTTGGGGATCCAGCCGTGGACACTCAACCATCGAGCTGAGGGGAACCGTATGCAGGGATGGTCCGAGGAGAATGTGAGTAAGACTCATGCGTGTGAGGAGCAGTTTCCCATTTTTTGAACCCTCATTGTTGGAGGGTTCTTCCTTCCGGTTCTACCTTTGGGTTCTACCTTCCGGTAATATCTGGGACTTCCTGCCCTCGGTTGCCTATCATCCTAGTTTAATATTTACCGGAAATAAATGGTTTCTGGGCCTGGAGTAATACCTAATTAATTATCTTTAGCCTGTCCTCCAGGACTTCTTCTTGATTTTTTCCTCAAAATTGTGTACCTTGTGGCGCTCAAACCGCAACCGCTTTGCATCCATGAACCAAGGTACAAAGTACCTCACCTTGAGGTGCTCATAACTACCGACTAACAAAGTATTTGATGACGTTTGCTGTCAAAATAATATCTCTATGTATAACTTGTTTTATTAAAATTATTAGCACGCCATTGGAGAAGACTTTCCGTGCGCAGTGTGATTGAGACATACTCGTTTACAGCACATTATGCAAAGATCCTCAACAATCTGAATCGCCGTGAAGCGAGACGATTATAAAACGAGAAAAAAGTGGAACAATGGCATCAGTTGGACTTTTTTATTACTAAGTATAACATATGTATATCGCAGTTGCAGGCGGCCATTGTTTCGCGTCGACCTTGAAAGAGAATTTATCATTATCCCCAGCCCTGAATAATCATTTTTAATAGTTCTTTCAAATTACACTGTAATAACGTCGGTAATGATGCTCGTTTAAAGTGTTTCGTGTTATTTTTGCATCGTGAGTCAACAGACAACAAGCTCGCTACTGTGCATGTATGGAAAATACTCGACTTGATGTGTTTCAGAAGTAAAATCCAACAATGACAAATTGATCATGTAAATGTTAACATAAGTATATGTAAATACATGTACGAGTCTGCTTTCCGTTCCAGAACTCTTTTGATTTATGAAATATCGTTTGAACATAGTGTACCCTCAAATAATAATGTATTGTAAATATCTCCTAAAAAGTAAGTTTAATTAACATTTATTTAACATCAACTGGATAATTGATCCCCACTATAACTACCTGCAAATAGTACCAACATCACACAAAAAACCGAACCTCTCGAACACACCAATAATTCTAGGTTAGCCCAAGATTTTGTGAATCTGTTAAGTTTTAAAAAATTTTATTTAATCAAGAATGTTCGTCCCAATCCATACATATTTCATCATTAAAACATAATTATGTTCTCCAGTACATCTCGCACTATCACAAATCTCATTAACGAAGTAAGTAATTAAATGATAATCAAATGAGCATGGTTTGCTATTTACTATTTTCAATTTTATTTTTAGCTCCTGAAGATGAGAGCATAGCCTGTCGAAAGCTTGAGTATTTGTAAGTCAGGAGGGTACACTGTGCTTAATTTGTCGATATCCCCAAAGACAAGACTTTCATTCAACTAATTATTATTGACAAGAACTATGAATCATATATATTATATATATATTGAACTTGAGACGTGGTCATTGTTGTCTAGACCAGTTAGGTGAAAAATAAAGCTTCCGCCTTCAGTTGGGTACTTCGACAAAATGCAATGAGGAATGTTTATATTTTATTAGTCTCTAGCTTTCAATGGACTATGCCAACATCATCAGGAGCTTTAATAACATTAAGAAGAAATAGCAACTATTGTGCAAAATGATTTTAAATTACTTACAATAGTATGTGAGATTGTTGCTAAATGTTATTAAAGGTTAAGTTGAGGGAAACATTTAGTAACCTGGTGAAAGTTGGATACATGGTACACACAGCTGTATGTCAGAAACACATCAAAACGAATCAAAAATATTTGGAACGAAAGTGTTACATCTTGAAACAACCTGATGCTGCACAAAATGGTGTGGCACACACATAAGTAGAATGAAACATTTGACAGATGATCTGGTTTTTTGGTCTATTCCACCCTTTTCGTCCAAAATTCCACTCCAATCAAATTTGAATAATTATTTTTCCCATAATAAAATAATAATTGTTTAATTCAATTGTTCATCTCATTAACAATATACCTGTAGTTTGTTCAACTGCCTCTGGGCTGTTGACAAGTTTTTATTTAACATATTTATCTTGATACATCACACCATCTAAACTGATTTGGCAGCATAGCACACATTTTTACAAATTCTCGTTCCATCCATCGACAATGACACTACCAGTCTTCTGTCATCTGTCAAATGTTTCATTCTACTTATGATTCTGTGTCACACCATTTTGAGCATCATCAGGTTGTTTCACGATGTAACATGTAATAATTTTAACTTTCGTTCCAAATATTTTTTAATCTGTTTTGATGTGTTCCTGACATAGAGCTGTGTGTATTTTATACTAATTTTAACGAATGTACCATGTATCCAGATCACCAGGTTACTAAATGTTTCCCTCAACTTAACCTTTAATAACATTTAGCAACAATCTCACTTACTATTGTAATTTAAAATCATTTTGCACAATAGTTGCTATTTCTTGTTAATGTTATTGCAGCTCCTGATGATGATGGCATAGTCCATTGAAAGCTAGCGACTAATAAAGTATAAAGAGTCCTCATTGCTTGAATTTTTTCGAAGTACCCAACTAAAGGCGAAAGCTTTATTTTACACCTATATGTATACGTATATATATATACAGGGTGACTTTGAAGTTGAGTCATTAATTTTCAGATAATGATTGTAGAAGGAAGATAAACCAAAATATGTGTGTAAAAATAAAAAAAAATAAAAAAAAAATTTTACCTTGTTTAATAAAGTATCCTCCCGACAAGTATTTCAGTGCGGACCTGTATTTGATCGTGCGGTCTTGGAGCAACATGCCCTCACCTGTGAGGTCTTAAGTCACCTGATTCACGAGCCCTTTGCACTACATTAACAAAGGCACGAGGGGTTGGTTGCACTCGATTGGGAAACCGATTCGCATAAATCCGTGATGCATCCGGGAGCATTTTGTAAAGACTGCCCCCCCCCGTAAATAAGAATCATGTCCACAAGTTCACAAGTTCAGCATTTTCGTAAACATGTGCCATTTTTGATTTCGTTTGAGCCACGCAACACACTACTATTCACTAACGCGTTATCGACTGACGAAAAACATCGTGATAAACGTTTCAAATTCTTTCGCTTTTTGTTTCCGATGCGATGAACCGGTCAGGCGGATTATATCCGTTGTCGCCAAACACGAGCATATAATATTATTATTGAGACAGGGCGGTACTCAAACTTCCAAAGCGCTATAACTTTGTTACTTTAATTTTACCAGAAAAATGGTAAAGGAAAAAAACATTTCTTTTGATCAGATCTACTCACTGTTAAAATAAATGAAAATGAAGTTGAGTCATTTATTTTAACAGTGAGTAGATCTGATCAAAAGAAATGTTTTTTTCCTTTAACATTTTTCTGGTAAAATTAAAGTAACAAAGTTATAGCCCTTTAGAAGTTTGAGTACCGCCCTGTCTCAATAATAACATTATGTGTTTGGCAACAACGGATATCGGTTCATCGCATCGGAAACAAAAAAGCGAAAGAATTTGAAACGTTTATCACGTTGTTTTCCGTCAGTCGGTAACGCGTGGGTGAATAGTGATGTTTGTTGCGTGACTCAAACGAAATGAAAAATGGCACATGTTTACGAAAATGCTGAACTTGTGGACATGATTCTTATTTACGGGGGGGCAGTCTTTACAAAATGCTGCCGGATGCATCACGGATTTATGCGAATCGGTTTCTCAATCGAGTGCAACCAACCCCTCGTGCCTTTGTTAATGTAGTACAAAGGGCTCGTGAATCAGGTGACTTAAGACCTCACAGGTGAGAGCATGCCGGTGCTTCAAGACCGCACGATCAAATACAGGTCCGCGGTCCGCACTGAAATACTTGTCGGGAGGATACTTTATTAAACAAGGTAACATTTTTTTTTATTTTTTTTTTTATTTTTACACACATATTTTGGTTTATCTTCCTTCTACAATCATTATCTGAAAATTAATGACTCAACTTCAAAGTCACCCTGTATATATATATATATATATATATATATAATAAAATTGTTTTTCCACTTACAAAATTGCAATATTAATATAACCAGCAACTCAATATTTCAGAAGGGATCACTTGAATTTAATAAACTAAATAATTATATAAAATCTACTTGTTATTCAAAGATATTTGAAAGAAAATTATGGAACATTTTATGGATAGTGAAAATTCTTAGAGATGCAAGTTTCGTTTTATCTGAATATTGGTATGCTATGTAATTTTTTAAAAGAATGTTATTGTAACAATCATGTCAAATAAATCTTGAACAAACAAACAAAAAAGACTATAGCTATAGCTTTATATTATCTAAGTTTTTTTTTAGAAGGTCATTAAAAAGTTAGTGGGGGTTCAGTAATCAATGTTTCTAAAAATGTGCTATAACGTATAATAGATATTCAGTTGAGCTAATGGACTATTTACTATTAATTAGTTTGAGCTAAGATTCAGTTTGATTGAACGATACCAAATTATTTACTATAATGGTATACCATGGAAATAAGGGTAACATTGACACTTTATTCCTTATCAATCTCTAATTTGAAAATTCCTCACAATTCAATTCGTTCTTTCCATAAAAAGCCCATTTGTTTTTCAGGTTCCGGTCCAATTCAACTCTGGCAGTTTTTACTAGAGCTGTTGACAGACAAATCCTGCCAAGGTTTCATCTCCTGGACCGGCGATGGTTGGGAGTTCAAATTGACTGATCCTGACGAGGTGGCCAGGCGATGGGGTGTGCGCAAGAACAAACCGAAAATGAACTACGAGAAACTGAGCAGAGGCCTACGTTACTATTACGATAAGAACATTATACACAAAACTGCTGGAAAGCGGTACGTCTATCGGTTCGTATGCGACCTGCAAACACTTTTGGGGTAAGTTAACATATAATAATAATCTTTATTCCAACGGGATATACCCAATCACAGAATCAATAGAATTAGAAGTGATCTCGCAAAGACATCAAACATACATGTATTATAAAAGTAAAAGAAAAAAGTATACAGAAATTAAATACAAAAAAAATAGAGACAAAATATAATAAAAATCACATTTCAATGCACATCTCAACGTCCCATCACAGCATAATTATGTCTAAAATTGGCCAGAATTACAAAGCATCACAATTAGTATAACAGCCCATGCAAAATTTATTAAAAAAGTGCAAATTCTACATATTTATAGGTGCCATATCTCAGATATTTGTCTTGCCATTTGGGTTGTAAAAAGATACTGCAAAATTAATTTTAAACAGTAAGTCTAGGCATTACGTTAAATAATAACCAGATATCTCATTTCTAAATAATGGTAAAATTTTCTCATTGAAGCAATGGAAATTTTCTTATTGTAAACTCCAATTTTGTGGTCGTTTAGTCACCGATAGAAATATTTTCCAGTGATTATTGGTCTCATATGGGCAAACATTTCATAGTACGGTTTTGCATGGGATGACTTGACAGTGAGTTCTAATTCATAACGTTTTTTGAAATTAAATAAGTGTAAAAAAGTACCGGGTGTACTGCTATAATTTGACCCCTCCTTTGACTTTTTCATATAACCTTCTAGAAAAAAGTAGTATATTATAAATGTTATACGGTCTAATACGAAGTTTTTCATGTAATATTTTTTGTATATAGTATACAGTAAACAGTGTTTTTGAATAAAGTTGTATTTTTTAAAATGTAACGCCCTATATGTTTTCAGGAAAAGTTATAAGTAGTCCCTTTTTTTCTCATTCATATTTTGACCAAAAACTTGAAATTTGTGTGAGATTCACTCATGTATCGAACCAATTGCATCTAGCCACCTATGCAATCTGGTATAGGTCCGGAAAACATATGCTAAATAACACAGAAACATCAAGTTTTTGACTAAAGTGTTACAAATAAGTTTAACAAACCATATGTTTGGAATAAGAAAAAAGTGACTATCATTCTCACTGAAAATATACAGAGTGTTCCATTTAAAAAAACTTTATTTGATAGCACTTTTTCATACAAAAAATATTACGTGAAAAACTTCATATGATGACCCTATAACTTTTGTATAAAACTTTTTCTTCTAGAAGATCATATAAAAAAGTTAGAGGGGGTCAATTTATAGCCAAATACCCTCAACATATTTAAGTGTAGAATAAGTTTTGCTATTTGAACTGTAGAACGTCGAGAGAGCTGAAATAGGAATTTATGAGATACCTTTATAAATAGTCACTCTAATGTTAGCTGTCAAAGGTAACATATCGACTCGTAGGAAAATATTCCCACGAAATTTCTCCTTGCATTTGATAACGTCAACTCAGCCGAATATGTCTTTCCTATGGGCAAGTATCATGAGAATACTTTCCCTATGAGATAATTCTCCAAGGATTCGAGAATTGAATTTCAGATATTTCAAAAGTTGGAAATAGAGGATCTTTCCATTCTGGAGTAACGTTTTATTGTTTCTCCAGTTTAAAACATTTGGTTTTTCAAATATTTTTGTAATCAGCTTCTCATATAAAATAAATAATATATGTAATATATAATTAAATATTAAAATATTTTTATCTGAGGGTGTAGTCACTCAAACATACCTTATTTTAATAGGAAAATCTACATTTTATTGCATATATCCAAATGAGGCAATTTGATATAGTTATACTATAGGGTTTTATTTTCAAATTGTTGGGATATTGGACAATTTATCGAAAAAAAAGTTTGACATCTCGCATCTCCTTGACTGTTATAGCTCTTGGGCAGAAACATTTCATGATCCCATATTTTCTCTCCATCTACTTGCCTTTTCAGTTTTTTTTATAGCTCATAACGGCTGGTCGCGAACTCAAAAGAACGATTTCTCAAATTTTTAAACAGTACATTTTCACATCCTTTACACAAGTTTTTTTTTTTTGTTATCAGGCTTTTGTGGGTTTGTACTAGTGAAAAATATTACAAAACATTTCAAAATAAGAAATAGCATTGACCTGATCATTAGAATTGATGTATTTTCGACATAAATTGAATCTACCCAACATTATGTAATAAAGTCGAAAAGTCAAGAAGGTGTCCCTGTGATTCTTGAAACCCGTCATTCAGACCCTCATTAACATTATATCAGAAAAAAGTTTGCAAAAAAAGGAATCAAAGAATGTGAAAATATACATACATATATACATATACTATATACATAATATTCAAAATTTTAAGAAATGGGTGATTTTGCGTTCTTGGACTGACACTGAAAAGGTAGGGAGACAGGAAGAAAATACTGAAAAGGTAAGTAGATAGGGAGAAAACATGAGATCAGAATTTTTTCTGACCATTTGTGTATTCTAGCTAGAACAGTTGTGGATGTGCAATATCTCAACAATTTGACAGGTGAACCTTATACTCTTAATAGAGTAGAGTTGCTCAGCTTTCGTTCGTAGACCGAGCCGACACCATGCTGAGGAGTTGTCAAATAGCACGAAACGCCTGTCCATGATTGGCCGTCTGTGGTCTGACGAAAGAAAGCTAATATTATCTACAAGCTGAATTTATGTTCGCTTGTTTGCTTTCCATTGTCTGTCTGCAGTGACTAGACCTATTTCACAACCCTATCCTAGATCTTATCCTGATGGATTTGAATACCCATTTCGACCGTTGGACTAAGGGCCATATCGTCAGTCCTTCCTACAATAATTGTAGGACGCCTTTATGGCCTCCTTGATTTTCATGGTTTTTCCTGTCCTTCAGAAAGGCTTTGAGGTTATGCTACAAATATCTATTTGCATCAAGTTGTTCATGCTTTCGGTTTTATCAGCCAGAAATGTCCTACAATTTAATAAAAAGAAAACATGACTAGGAGAACGCGGACGCTGACACGGAACAGTAGAAATCTAGACTCTACCCCAGCCTTTCTGAAGGAGAGAAAAGGCTATGAAAATCAAGGAGGCCATAAAGGCGACCTACAATTGTAGTAACGACTGACGACACGGCCCTAAATTACAATCCGCTAGCACGCATTTATTTTTGTAACATGCTCATACCTACAATACCCCGCCTAACAGCTTAATAGCTCGGTAATTTTAGACATTCTCAAAGTTCGGAATATATTAAAAAAAAATTATTTTATCGTACTATCGAACCTAACGAAAAAGTAGGACAAACCTAACGAAAAAAGTGGGACCAACCTAAATATAAAAGTGTGACTAACCTAACGAAAAAAATGGCACAAACCTAACGAAGTGAAGAGGAAGAAACCTGACGAAAAAACTGGTACAAACCTAACTTTTTGGTTTAGTTTGGTTTAGGTTTGGTTTGCCATCGGTCATCTTCATCCGCCATCTGGGATATGTCATCTGTCGCACATTTTAGACGATCCGCTAGCACGCATTTACTTTCCCCCGCATAACAGCGTAATAGCTCGGTAATTTTAGACATTCTTAAAGTTCGGAATATATTCAAAAACAATTATTTTTTCGTACTATCGAACTATCGAACCTAACGAAAAAGTAGGACAAACTTAACGAAAAAAGTGGGACAAACCAAACGAAAGAAAGTGGGACAAACCAAACGAAAGAAAGTGGGACAAACCTAAATATAAAAGTGGGACTAACACAACGAAAAAAATGGCACAAACCTAACGAAATGAAGTGGAAGAAACCTGACGAAAAAACTGGGACAAACCTAACTTTTTGCTTTAGGTTTGGTTTGCCATCAGTCATCTTCATCCGCCATCTGGCATATGTCATCTGTCGCACATTTTAGACGATCCGCTAGCACGCATTTACTTTTGTAATATGGTCATACCTTCAGTTCCACGCCTAACAGCGTAATAGCCCGGTAATTTTAGACATTCTTAAAGTTCGGAATATATTCAAATATGTTTACTTTTGTCTCAAAAAAAGGAGTTCAGAGCTATTTGGTAGCGCTCTTGTATTGCCAATTTACATTTTCTTTTTGAATTGTGGGAAATTTCAGGCTGATAAAACAGATGATGTAAATCACGAGCATGAACGATTTGATGCAAATAGATATTTGTGACTTAACCTCAAAATAGAGCGCTGACCCGGAACAGTAGATATCTATGAAAATCAAGGAGGCCATAAGGCGTCCTATCTGGTAATTTCAACAGCCGAAACAAGACCGGCATACTGAAATCAATCAAGTAAATGTATCTTTTTTGTTGCAGATACAGCCCCGAAGAATTGCATGCAATGGTAGATCTCAAGCCAGAGAAGAAGGATGACGACTGATTCCAAACACACATTTTCTCAACCCCACGAACTTTTCAATAGACGGGCGTCAATAATTAATTATTCTTGATGGTGCCTAATTTTACATCGTATGCGTCGGAATACAAACAACATGCAACGCTCAATTTTTCTTAAGTGTTGTTAAAACTGGACCTTATTTGCACAAATATCCGTTCCTTAAAGAGTTTCGTAACGGGCTACGAAAAGTTACGGAACGCCAATATTATATGCTTTATCGTGAAAAATATATTTGTGTATATTTCAGTTTATTATTTTCATTGAAGATAGCTGACCTAATGTCATATTCCGAAAAATTGTCCTAGATGAACAGAGAAATCGTCATGAGGACTTGTCACAGCTAAGAGATATAGCGATAATCAGATTTACTTTGAAAACGTTAAAATCTCCTAGAGGCTCTGTAGCTAGATGCTGAAATATAACTGGCTACAGCGCCATCTAAGAGACCATCACCTTGTGACCTGACGTGGCAACTATGCATACCGAGCAGTCCGTGGGTCTTTAGCTCGTTTTTCCAAACGAAAGGGTCCTTACAGAAGGAGCGCAAACCTAACCATTTGATATTCAAAGTTGCGCGTTTCTGATTGGTAGAAATTAAGAAGAGGGAAATAGTCGTTTAAAAATCCCATAGCCTTGTTTCGGACAGACAACATGGGGCTTCCAGGTTAATTTCATGTCAATTGTCAACCTCAAATGCTTTACCTCCAATGGCCATGGCATGTTTCGATTAAGGTGGCAACTACCTGATTTTTTTATCTGATAATTTCATGGTGTGTATAGAAATGACTAAAAAACAATGTTTTCATTTTTTTTGTCAAAAATGCATTTTTTCCGCATTTTTTCTCCAATCGGAACTTGTTAACAAATATAAGTACAGCTCTGAAATTAGGTGCGAATATTCCTCTTTTATGAGAGAATGGAACAAGTGATTGCTTTTGTTCTTATCACTTTTCTTTTTCGAAAAATCTTTGATTTTCTTGAGGCCTCGTCTCGCAGCAATTTGAGTTGTCAAGAAAAGCAAAGAGAAGAGAAAAAGTGATAAGAATAAAAGTAATCACTTGCTTCATCCATGAAAGTGGAATATTCACATACAATTTCAGAGCTGTACTAATATCTGTAAAGAAATTACGATCGAGGAAAAAATGCACATAAAATGCATAAAAATACATTTTATGACAAAGCGAAATTAAAAACGATGTTTTTTAGTCATCTCTAAACACATCATGAAGTAATCAGATTAAAAGGATTTAGAAAACTGTTGCAAACAGGTAGTTGAAAAAGAAGCATAACAAAATGGCCTTAAATACTCTCAACTACCCAGATGCAAAAACGTAGCTTTCTTAGGAAAACATCTTGGGCTTATTGTGAATTAACATTGATTTTACACATACACCGCCTCCTGAAGGCAGTCAGCAACCTCTTGGGGGTATAAGTAACAAATTCTAGGGGACACGATGGTTTTTCGGTTCGGGGCAATGGTATAAGTGTGAATTTAAGCAACTCCTTATTAAACAGTATGTTTCATTTGATATGTCTTGGGTAGCATCGTAGTATTAGCATCTGAGATGCTCTGGGGTTCCAGCAACGCAAGGCAAGCAGTGAGAAGTAGGAACCGACAGCCATATCAATTTACAAAAGATCAGGTTTCAGAGATAATCCACCCTTCTTTGGAGAGTTGAACTCCTCAACGCGCAACTTAGTTTGTTCTAAGTGCCTACAAAGTTCTATGCATTCAAAAGGTGTATCTATTCGATGCAAAGTTAAGCCCTTGGTAAAAAGGCAAAATATTGCAACGTAAAACTCTCAACAACATAATTACCAACAGGGTCATCACTACCCTGGGTTCGACTTAAAATTTGCTGCGATAATTTATCACTCAAATAACGAGGAACAAATTCTTCCTAAGAAGAACTAAACTATCCCAATCACTAGCATTTTTTGAAATAAGGTGATATTAATTAAGTGCATCATCCTCAAAATATCATGAGCACCTCTAAAAAGTTCTTGTTTATTAACTTTCGTAGAAATAGCAAGTTCCTCAACTTTTTGAAGAAAAGCTGTAAAACTAAGTCCAGAACTACCAGAAAATTTTAAATCCAATTTCCAAACAGGAACTGGCTTAACATTATGATTAAATGAACTAGTAGGGGAGACCGGGGCTGGTTGTGACATTTTTTTTTCAAACTGTCATATCTTCTTAGTGGTTCAATTGTTTCACCTGAGTATTGGTTTGTTTGATGAAGTAACTATTCAGGATCTTTTACCAAAATATATTTTATATAGCAGACAAATAGCAATGACGTAAATAAATGGATTCTGAAAAGAAAACCGTGTAACTTTCAACCCCATGCAGGGGGCTGGTTGTTACATTACATGGGGCAAATTGTTACACTAAGAAACAAACGTATTATAAGAGTTTTTATTAGGAACACTCAACATAATTAGTCACTTTTCTTAATTTCAATAATATGCTTATATCTATAGAGCAGTATTTTGCCTCATTACAACGAAAACATCTAAAAAGAAACAAAATTACAAACTTAACATTGGGTATTCTTCATTAAATCAAAACATGGATAATTTTTCAACTACAAGATTATAAACCTCTGTAGGTATTAAATAAAACCTTCGTGCCTACTAATCAACATAACGTATTTTGTAATTGAAGATAAACTACACTTAAAAAAATACCAAGCAGTTTAGTCACTGTAGTCTGAAAAATCACTTTCGCAGTTCACACATACGTAATATGCAATATTTCCTCTAACACATTTCACATGTGACCAATTCTTGCAAGCTCTACACTGTACCCACTCCTCACCAGATTTCTTCGGATCAAAAGGATCACAACACATCAGACAAAAATATCCATCCTCTTCTGCACTTTCTTCGTCAGTGTCATGTAATACTTTCCTCTTTGCAGCAAGGATTCTTTTTTCGTTACTTGTTTTCCTTCTCTTATTGGTATTTTCCTGTTCTATCTCTGTCTTCTTTGCTGTAGATTTTCCCCCTTTATCTGACTTTTCTTTTTTGGATTGTTTATCCTTCTTCTTACTCTGTTCCAGAGCCAAAGCATTTTTTTCTGGTGTATCAGTTAAAATTGCTGATTTGCGAGTTTTTCTTCTTATCTTGGTTGTTCTCGCAGCAGCTTTTTGATAAGGCCGAACAGTCTCGGGAGAAAAATTATTTTCGTTAGGCATCATATCTTTACTACAGCCAGCAACTGGGTTAGCATGAATGGAGCTCTCGGGATATGCCATGGCACTCTGTATAGGAGAATGAGGAGGAGGTAGAGCTGAAACATAAGCCTCCCCGTTCTGTGTCGTAACAGGAACATTTTCGATGTTCGAGTTGATCGTTTCGCCTAGTGGTCTATCAGTAACAAAAGCCGACAAAAAGTCATCATCTTGAAAAATATCTTTATTGAATGGTGCAATACCAGTCTTCTTAAATCCGTTAATAATGTTCTTGGGATTTAATGCCAAGGGTAAAGCATTTTTCACTATTGATGGTATATCATGTACAGTCATTGTCTTTCCTGGATTATTTCTAAGCCAACCATCTTGTTGACTGGCACAGTAATTTTTGAATGGTCCGTAGACCGCCACATCCATAGGCTGGAGCTTATTCGAACAGTGTGGTGGGAAGGACAGCAATACCACATTATTTTCTTTAGCCATTTCGACGACATCAATATCCAAGTGTGAAGAATGATTGTCTAATAATAAAAGAACAGGGTCAGATGGAGATGGTTTCACATTATCTATGAAATGCTTCATAAATGTTTTGAATTCAAGTCCAGTCATCCAGCCACTTGCGTTTCCGGCGCCAATGCAGCCTGGAGGTCCATCGCGAACAAAATAGTCTCTGTATTTAATTCGAGGGAAGATAAACATACATGGCACCGAGTTTCCCACTGCATTTGCTGCTGCGCAGATAGTTACAAGAGTCCCTCTCTCTGCTGATGTGATGGAACCAACTTGTTTAGATCCTTTTGGAGCTAAAACTTTTCTTGGTTTCATTACTGTTGTCACACCTGTTTCGTCTACATTCCATATCCGTGCCAAAGGAAATTTATATCTATCCATCACATCAGCCAATTTAGAAAAGAAATCACCAACATTCGTTTTATTGAATGATGTGGCTCTGCTCAAGCTTGTAGCTTCTGGTGATCTTATAGATAACGACTTATTGCGTTTAAGAAATGCCGCTAGCCAATCAGACCCTGCTTCCTTTTTGTCTAGCCACGATTGTGGCATTACAATGTTGTGCTTAAGTGCACAAGAAAATGCCAGTTGCTTGACATCCTTTGGCGTTAGTCCGTAGTAAATTTGGCTGCATTTAATCAAATAACTCACCAAAATTGCCTCTTGTTCATCGTTAAAAACTTGTCTATTCTTCTGGTAGCCGACTGTGAGAGATTCCACAGGTGTGCCCTTCTCTTTTGCTTGTTTTCGTTTCTTTAAATATCTTGTTAGCGACATATGACATAATCCGAAATCCTTAGCGATGCCACGAATTTTTTTAGTTTTGTCTTCCTCCAAAATAACTGCTGCTTGCTCATAAATATCTTTAGATATTTTGCCCCGCTCCGTTTTTCTTATATACGTCCTCATCCTATAAAGAAAAGACAAAAAATATGTAGCACAAACTATGTCAGTCGGAAACAAGCACTACGGGGCAGGTAGTGACAAATCACAACCTGCCCCGAGCAAACGTAACTTTTAGCCCCACCGCCAAATCTGATCTTTTAAGGTTATGTAGTGAAAACGACAATAAACGTAGCTGTATAAAAGTAGATTAATTGCAAAGCGCCAGCACTAGGGCATAATAATCACAACAAGGATATCTCTGCCTTTATGTAACATAGGTTGTAAACCAATATTACTAAAAGTATAAAATTTTACTAACCTGCGATTTTAATGGCAGCATGCACGTGCTCCCCTCACAAAAACGCTGGCACCACTGGCTCCCGGGGCATGCGTGCCGGCAGTGGCGGGAGTATTTGTCCCTTTCTAACGTCAGTATTGCGTTCTCTGTTCCGCGATCATTGCCACTGTAACAACCTACCCCTGTCACTTTCAGCCCCGGTCTCCCCTATTTTTCAGCTGAATTACACCGGTATTACGTGGTGGCTTGATGCATTAAATTGCTGGGTTCGAAAGTTTGGATCTAGAGGTTCATCTACATGAGCTACAAAAGTTTTACAAAAATTGTCATATTCCACAATTAAATTTGACGATTCTCTCAATATTGCAACTTTTTTATCCTTAGTTTCTGAACTGTCTGGAATTCTATCTACTCTAGCAGTTAAATGAGCGAATTTAGTTTCGATTTTGGGATCAAATTTGCCTGCTCCAGAATAAGAGGAAATTAAATTTTTTAAACTTAATCAATTCATCTTCTGGTTTCTCTATAATGAATCTATATTCCCTACCCGCAGTTTCTTCTAAAAGAATTAAGGATCTAAGACGTTTTTTTAATTCATCAACACACACCTCTAATTTGAATCTCATATTCAAGTTCATCTTTACTTAGACGTTCAATACTTAGTTTAAACCTGTTGGTAATCAAGATAATAAATCAGAATAACGCCCAAAATATGAAGTATACTAGCTACAAATACCTTTAAATGCGCAAATACTAACAATTCTTGAGCACTAACAGGAATGAGATAAGATCAGTGCCAATGACACTTGTCAAAACTCAAAAACATAAAACTAATAAACTAAATCTAGGTATATAAAAAAAACAAATGTCTGTGTGTTCACTATTTATCCTTAAATCTATTTTTTTTCATATAGCACAAATTGCATTATCGACTTCGTCAGTCTTTTGATCACTAACTTTGTCGAAATATTCTCGGATGGCACTAGTTTTCCTTGCATTCGACATTCTTATGCAGTATTAAGCTTCACGCAAGTCAGAAGAAAACGGTTTGACGTGCATACATGAATGGGGTGGTAGTCTGCGAAAACCAAAATTTGGCCAATTTTGACCTCACAGACAAGGTTAAAAATCGTTTTAAAATAATCTCAAAATACCCTTCGGAGTCTTGTAGGAAGGTTTAAACTTTAATTTACATGTTTGATGATCTCAAAAAATATAATTTTTAACCGAATTTTCAAGCATTGAATATACCCATTTTTAGGGCTTTAAAGGGCAAAAATTGTATTTATTTAAAAAAATTGTTTAAACAGATTTGATTTTTCAATTCAGTTCTAAAAAAATCAGTTAAAAATCATAATTTTTGAGGCGTCTAATTTAAATTTGAAATCTTGCTCACTATACAAGACTGAGTGCATTTTGAGGTCATTTTATTTTAGCGATTTTAACCTTGTTTTTCAGGCCAACTTTTGGTATTTACAGTCTCTACGTATGTATGATCCCGACAGACATTAGCAAACCTATTTTTATTTGTATTTTTATCCTTTCGCGAAAATACAACGAAAGCAGGCCTAAGTGACTATGTGATTGTCATTTATTGTGCTTTGAGATGTTGCTGTACCTCCGATTAAATGCACCAAAATTGTACTACTAGACTTGTCAAAGCATCGGGCACAAAACGTATAAACTTTGACCACCGGTCAATATTAAAGAAAATTCGAATAGTTATAGTTCATGTTGTGTTGATTAAATGTTCTAATAGGCGCAAAGCTCACTATTGGAAAAACCGGGTACTGACTTTTAGAAAGAGGATGGTGCTACAAAGCACAAAATGGAGGATGCTGCTACAAAGCACAAAATTATGTGTTTCCCAAAAATTTGAAACGGGACACCCCGTATATTTTTACATATTTATAAGTTTCTTCTGATATTAGGTTTAATGCTGCTTTATCAGAACAGTTAGCTGATTATGCATAATAAAATAAAATGTATACCATTAAAAAAAACATGTTGGGACACCTTGTATATTTGTATGTGTTCTCGTAATTTTTATTATACTGACAGGACTACAATAAGACGAGTTAATTTTTGTAAAATGGTTCGGGCAGGCTTATCCATTTATCAATCTTTAACAACCTGTATCTCCAACATAAAGCATTTGATCGGAACATTTGATCAGCACAACATTTCCATACGAATTTTCATTAAAATTGACCGGTGGTCAAATTCCACATGTTGGCACACCATGCCCTGTGTGTGCAGTCATACAAACAAAACTATTAGAAGTCTACTTGTCAAGTATTCAGAGTGTTCATTTGAAAACTGATTTATCGAAAACGACTGATTAAAAGGAAAAAACGCCGAGACACGTCAAAGGATTTGTCAAGCGGACAACTTTTTAGCAAAAACAATGATATAGGCGATGTTCAAATTCCTGACGGACATTTTCAAAAACATGTTGTGGGATATCACGGCAGCTTTCGATGATGCGTTGACAAGTTTATCCAAACATCCAGGATGGGGAGTAAACACAATATATTTCAAATGACCTCATAGAAAAAAGTCTAATGGCCTCAAATCAGGAGATCTAGCAGGTCATTCTATAGGCCCTCTTCGCCCTATCCATTTATCTAAAAACCCGTCGTCTAGCCATTGCTATAGTGAGGAGGAGCGCCGTCTTGCTGGAAATATATTTCAGCCTCATCAGTTATAGTGTTTTTCATCCTCTTCGATTTGGTTTAGCAGTGGTTTCAGTGTTAAACTGATTGATGGTATTTCCCAACATATCCAAATAAATGAAGTATTAGGGATAATTCCAAAATGACCTAAAACTTCAACTTGAGTGGCTTCATAAGTTAGAATCGTTTCCACTCTTTCGGCTATGTGTAAACCATTTTGGATCTGGATCAATAAATTAATTTTTACTATCCCAAGATTGTCATAAAGGTAACTGACAGCAAATTAAATTCGTTCTTTCCCTTAGCAACAAATAATTAAACAGGTATAACAATAAATACAGTTCGCCCAGGATATCTGTGTTGATAAAAAAAATGCGGGATAAATTCGGGTTGTTATTTTATTGTATGCCACGACTAATCTTCCTAATTTGCTGTTTATGTTGGTAGTTTCCGTTTTAAATTATAAACGGATTGTAGATTTGCAAAACCCTAACGGGCAACATTTTCAACACTCATAAAAAAAAGTGATATTTTCGTGTGTTTTTGTTTTCTATATGAACAAATTAAGATAAAGATTTTTCTAATTTTTTCGAAAACAAATCGATTGATTTTAAAAAATCAAACGTCAAAACAAAGGACTTCGAAAGACCCTCCGAACAAGCAATTACTCGATACCCCTTGTCAATTAAAATTTTTATGGAATGACGCTGGGAGGCCAAGGGTGAAAGGGGTGATATAGTTTACGGTTAAAAAGTTGACCCCATTGACAAATCATTTGTGGCATTTTTACTTCTAATCAGTGATTTACGATAAACCTGTGGTGGTAAGTTTTCAAATGTATGATGTGTATGGAGCCGTCAATAGACTTGTCTGTGGACCACGTGTTGGGTGATTATCAGTATTGGCTAAAATATTATATCGGTCGATCTCTAGTAAGAAGTAATCCAGCGTATGCTTACTGAAACTCTGAGAGCACCTTTACATTAGCTACTCTTTATCAAATGTACCCCAAAGCTTATCTCACACAATAGCTGGCTTTTGTATGTTTTTTGTCTATGAAATATTTATAAGGATCAAGCTATCTTAAGGCATCAAGAATGTACAAGATTATTCGATCTTCTACTTTTTTTGTACCTCCAAACCAAATATCGGTGCAATGAACAATTATCTTAAGATCACAAGTGACTATAATTGATGACAGCTGGACTGAGTTTTGTGCAAATAAGGTATTAAGGATATATCATTTACAGACTATACCTAACTATACCCATGAAACAATGTAATTGTAATACTGATACAACAAAAATGTCCTTTAAATCGTTCATTTAATGATTTTGTTTCTTAGTCATATTATTGCCAGATTTTGATAATATTTATTTAAACGATAAACTGTGCTATATAAGCCTATTAAACTCAATTTTTTGACGTTTTGCATCTTTGTTATATCAATATAAAGACAAATCACCATAAAAATTAGGTCCTGTGCCATGAAAGCCACAAAACCTCTGATATCCAATTTTCTATGAACTGTATTGGACTCCTCTGCTCACATCTACTTTTTTTTACCGTAAGAAAATAGATAAAAAAATAAATCATTAGCTCTAACATCTTTTGATAAGCAGGAAAAGTTAACATGTAGTCAGCATTTCATTTTTGAACATTTCTGTCAATAGAAAGAACTTTTTTATATAAAATATATTCTAATGTTTTTAACAAATTTGCATGTTTCAAACCATTACGACATTCTTGTAGTTTCAGCTGTACATATTTAGAAGAAAGTTGCACTATATGGAAAAAGTACCGTTTACATAAAAGATGTGATCCTAAGTTCTTCATAAACATGTGTGGAAAATACAGGAAGTTTTGGCAATCTCAAAGACTGCATATGTCAAACGCCTTTTGACATTTGACTTAACGATTTTTATGGGGTAAATGTCAAATGAGGTTAACATTGTTTACATGTTGAGTCTTTGTGCTTGCTAATATGTCCAAAACACGGTAAATGTCTGTAAAATGCTTTACTTATCTATGAACAAACATAAACTTCTGTGTGAGTTTTAAGATAATAATTTAGACATTTTAAGGGCATGTTTAGTTATTGATCGCTCTCTCCTGAGGTGTAATATTGTAAAGACTCGCCACTTGCAATAATTTTGAACGTTTTGAAGATAGGAAGCGTAACTTTTATAGCTTATTTGTTATTTTTGAAACTTTTGCAAGTGGTCAGTTTATGAAACAAAAAAAAGGCACAGACAGTGTTTGTAAATATTCTTATTGTGATAAGTCTAATTAAATGATAAGTATATAAATTTTTCTGTTTCAAGAACAAAAATAGTTTTTGTGAGATACATGTTGGATTTATTAGGTATTTTTATAATAGTGTATATTGCGAATTTCCCGGAATGGTGAATCTACTAAAACGTTTTGTTTGACTTTGAAAATCTCGACGGATTTTTAGGTTGAACCGATGCAAGTTTTCGTAGAATATTAATCTCGTGTCTCTTGTGGGCAAATAAGTCTATCATACGAAGGTGGAAGCTATTTTAGTTTAAGAGAGCTAGATACAACTTGAATTAATATCAGATTTACCCTTTGCTCCAAAACTAACTTACAATGTCTTTGAAACGGTTTTACAGCAACTTGTTAATGACTACTCAGAACTAGGGAGCAAACTTGTTTCAAGGATTACAAAACAGATTTATCAGATTACAAAGCCGAATTATCGCTATGGAAAGAATACTATATTTATGAAATTAAAAAGTGTGTATCTTGCCACTTTCGATGGCATGCATGGAAATTAAATCTTTATTCACCACATGTATAAGTATTATTGTACTTAGCAATAAATTATTGAGATTTTTCCAATGTTATTGCCATCTTGGGTATTAACGATCTAAAAAGTTGCATGAACCCCTTGATAGATACATATCAGTGGGGTTAATGAGCCGAGTATGATTTCCAAAATAAAATGATCTTAATTTTGAAAAGAAAGAGAGTAGTATATATTTAGTATCGTAAACTACATCTAAGTGTATTTTAAAAGGGCGTTTGATAATTTTGTCAGACATGACAGACTGAACTTTGAGAAGAAGTATCTGATTTTGTCAAACTTCATACAATCTCAAAATAATTGTATGCATGCGAAATTAATAATTTAAATTATTCATAACAAAATAAAACAGCAAGTACTGTCTGACATTAGAAGAGCAAAAATGATAAAAACCGATAAATCCACTTGTTATGTTTTTTGAGTTAGGTATGGAATTCGGTTAATTTCGATAAGCTCTAACCGTTTTTAAAGGCAGATATGAGCAAAAGCCGCTAAATCCTCATGAAATATAGGTTCAACTCGGTGCATTCATGCAAAACCCGATAAATCCAAAATTAATCCAAAAAGCGCTAAATCCAAAACTGTTATTCTGAATTATTAAGAATTTATTATCAAATCAACTGGTCAGGTGACAGTGATCGTGTAGATTGCATTATTATTTGTTCAGTGCTTCATAGATGGCCTATGGAGATCTATAAGTTATAAAAATATTTAGGAGGTTTTCCGTTTCCTTTTTGTCTTTGGCGTGCTTTTTTGTGATGTTTTCAGT